TCTCTCTCTCTCTCTCTCTCTCTCTCTCTCTCTCTCTCTCTCTTTCTCTGGTCGCGAGGAGAGAATAAGAAGAGTGGAAGAAGGAAGGATGAGGTCGAGATATCTGTGTTGAACATTCCTGCGATACTAAGTCAATCACTGGCTTACTTTAGCGTTAGTTGAACAGGAACCATCACTTTTCTTTCCCTCTATCATATTTGTCTGCCTTATTCCTTATTTTTTACCACCAAACATTTATCTTCCTTATTATCCTCTTTTTTGTGTTTGTTACTCTCCCGTAATATCTTTAATTTTTGGCACTTATACAACATTTGTCCGTGGCCTCTACCTTGGTGCAGGGTGAGAAAGAGAATGATGATGATGGTGATTTATACAACATAATTGCGTTCCAAGTGCCGTAAAACTCGTACTAAAATCAAAATTACCGTTTCTCTCGCTTCGTGCACAAACTAACCGTTATCATGCCCCGATGTCAGGCTGAAGGGTTAGAACTCAGATGGCCACTGGATCGGAAAAGCGTCTCGCTGTTACTACTTCTTCCTTGAACGTACAACTTTTTAAAAATACATTTGTAGTGTGTGTGTGTGGAAGAGGGGGGATTATGATATTTTCAGTAAGTATATTATTTGACTTGCTGACAAACTTGCTTTCTGTCAGCATGCCGAAACTGCGAAACCATTGTTGAACAACAAGTCTGAATTGCAATTAATCAGAGTTTTGAGTTCTGAATCGAGCCTTACCATCGCAATGTAAGGCATCGAGATTGCAGACTGCTTGTGTCATCTTCATGATTTAGTTAATTTGGGAGGCAGGCTGCTTCGAGCCGGCCTGCCAGAGTCAGCTGGACGTAAGTGGAATACAACATCCCGACCAGGAGAGAATTAATGAAGATATTCAATTAAGGAAAAGAAAACTCCCCACTCGGGTATCGAACTCAAGTCTTTTGCATGGAACGGCGAAGAGCCTGACTACTGCACCAGAGACACCGGTTGTGAGCGGTATGGTGCAGTGTAGTCGACAATATATCGCCCGCTCTGGTTTTGGTGATTAAAATAGATAATAAAGAAGAGGTTATAATGCTCGCTCGTTTCAGTACGGTTTTGTATCCGGCACTGCAATTGGCCGAAGAGCAAGGTTGGTTACGTCATCTCGGAGCAGGGTTTGGTTGTCCCCCCGCTTCTTTTTTAGTGTTTCTGTTATAATCAACATCTGTTTATCGACGAATAAGGACTTCTCTCTCTCTCTCTCTCTCTCTCTCTCTCTCTCTCTCTCTCTCTCTCTCTCACCTAGGACGTTCTCACCATATTATTATAATTGTCTTAGACCTTGTTCAGTTCATGGCACCCTGCAACTGCGAGCCACGATTTCTCATTCGCTACCCTCAATTCCGTTGCACACGTTGTGGTCGTTACTATTAATACTATCGATCCTGAAGTTGCCACCCCCGCCCGTCACCCCCACCCCCCAAAGTGACTATTAACCAACTTAATTTCAGTTCGCAGGAGCTATTTAAGTACTGCAGATGCGTATTTGGTCCATATAAAGGTACTGACGTCATTACCGTACATCGGTGATTTTCTGTTAGATCTATCATCTTGTCTTCATACGTGAGAAGAGGGATACTCCAGCTTGGTGAGTTTTTCCAAGTGTTAGAGAGTCTTCTTCTTCTTCTTCTTCTTCTTCTTTTTCTTCTTCTTCTTCTTCTTCTCCTCCTCCTCCTCCTCCTCCTCC